AATGATTACGCACTTGAGTTCGTCGTTGAGTAACGTTTATTAATACGGGCCTTAGAGAACTGTCGCGCAGTGGTCATTAGAGGGGCTCACGGATCATAACATCGCATCATTGAAAGTAAAACGAAAAAGCAATACTATTGAAGGAAAAAGACCCTTTGTCGGCGAGCGAGCGGCGTAAGCAACGCGCCTCCTCCCGGAGAACGCGCGTTGCCTGCACTGAGGTGGGAGGACTCCTCTCACATCGGTCGTAAAAAGCAAAAAAAAAAAGTATTGAATTCTTTTTTTTTTTTTCTGTCTTTGACACACTTTTTCACAGTAGTGCGCATAATTATGTCGACTAATATTTTTGTGAATTTTTCCGCGAAAAATACGCTTACCTATTGTTTTATTTATTAATGTTTGTGTAATTAGGATAGGAATTAGATTAGGGTACTGCGATAAAGACGCTTTGTTTTGTATTATTAGTTCTTGTGTAAACTTGTGACCGTAATGGCAAATACACATCCGAACTACACAGCAGCTGAATATGCGGACATGATCCTAATTTACAGAGAATGTCGTCAAAATGCTGCCCTTGCGATAAGGACATATCGCGAGAGATGGCTATTCAAGACAATGCCCTACTTATTCTCGCACTATTGTAGGAGCTCTTCAGTGGATCCTAGGGCTTAACAACCTGATCGACCGCCTATCCGATAAAACCCAATCCAGTTAACTGAAAATGTGATACAATATTTCGAAGACCAACCCAAAACTAGCCTCCGCCAGAGCGCTAGGCATTTTCAAGTCCATCACAGAACCGTCCATAGGACATTAAAGCGCGAAAAGTGGCACCCAATCAATTTTAGAAAAGTACATACGAGGGTGGATTGAAAAGTACTCGGCTTAACCAAGAAAATAAACACATACTAAATCAGTTATATTTATATTTTTCTACATAATCACCATCAAGTTCAATACACTTTTGCCACCTCCCCTTCCAAGCATTTAGACCGTTGAAAAAAAATGATTCTTCCTTAGAGTCAAAATATGCGTCTACAGCTGCTTTGACCTTGTCGTTTGTCGAAAATCTTTGACCTCCCAAGTGCTTTTTTAGGTTAGGGAACAGAAAGAAGTCTGATGGTGCCAGATCAGGTGAATACGGCGGATGCGGTAACAGTTCAAAGCCACAGTTGTGAATTTCAGCCATTGACTGTACTGACGTGTGAACACGGGCGTTATCTTGATGAAACAGGACTTTTCTTCTGAGCATTCCTCGACGTTTTTCTTTTATTTCCTCTCGTAAACGACGTAGTAAGGTGCAGTAGTAATCAGAGTTTATAGTCTGACCCCTTTCAAGATAATCAATCATAACCACACCTTTCGAGTCCCAGAATACTGAAGCCATCACCTTATTTGCCGACAAAATCGACTTAGCCTTTTTAGGGGGTGGTGAACCAGGTCTTCTCCACTGTTTTGATTGTTGTTTTGTTTCCGGTGTACAGTAATGAACCCATGTTTCGTCCATAGTAACAAAACGATTCAAAAAATCATCTGCATCGGCTTCAAATAACTCCAAACAGTCGCGTGAAATAGTCAATCGCGTCCTTTTTTGTTCAACTGAAAGCAGTCGCGGAACCCACCTCGCAGACACCTTGTGGAAACCCAACTCGTTGACAATGATGTTTTAAGTTCGTTCATAAGAGATGCCTATAATCTCGGCTATCTCTCTAATTTTTAATCTGCGGTCTCCCATTATTAAATCGAGTACTTTTTTAATATTTTCGTCAGTAGTTGACGTCGAAGGCCTTCCAGAGCGGGGTTCATCTTTCACACTCTCTCTACCACGCTTAAATTCTGCTATCCATTTTTTGACGGATGAATATGACAGAGCACAATCGCCTAATGTACTGACCATGTCATCTTGGATGGCTTTTGATGATAGCCCCTTCTTATGGAGGTACTTAATGACGGCACGCTGCTCGATTTGCTCCATTCGCGGAAATTATGTCCGATTACTTTGTTAATAAATTTATAAAATCACAACTAATTATCGCACACGTTTTGAACTTCACACAATGAACTAGTCTGAACTGAACTAAATAATGTGGGTAGATTTGATTTTTAGAATTGAATGGATCTGTGTTAGGCCGAGTACTTTTCAATCCACCCTCGTACTCTGGTATCGCGTGATAAATTAATATGAGTGAATTATTGTCAGTGGTTACTGAGTAAAATTGAAGAGGACAGTGACTTGCTTTCCCAAATTTGTTGGATTGACGAAAGCACGTTGACCAGAAACGGCATGTGAAACCAGCTCAATCTGCACCATTGGACAACCAAAAACCAAAATCCGCGCTTTTGGTGGAAGTCGGCACATCAGTACAGATTTTCGGTAAATGTTTGGGCAGCTATTCACGGTGACAAAATGATCGGACCCGTATGCATTGATGGGGCTTTGAACGGTGAAAGGTTTGTTAATCTGCTAAATGATACGATGTCTGAGTACACAAACAACCTAAACGTCCATCGATACCAACGAATGTGGTACCAATTAGATGGCGCGTCAGCACACTCTGTAACGACAGCCAGGCAGTGGCTAAGTGACACGTTAGGTGCACAATGGATTGGTAAATTTGGACCTCGTAGGTTGCCAGCAAGATCGCCACATCTCACGCCACTCGATTTTTTTTCTGGGGTTGCATCAAAGACGATGCGTACGTAGAGAACGTGGATTCAGTGGAACAATTATACCATCGAATAATAGATGCGTTTGAGAAATTAAGGGAAATTGCTATAAGTGACAATTTATTTTCAAATGTGCGGGAAAACATGAAATGCCGTTTAGCTCTTTTTATCCGTCTATTTAATTTTTTTTTTTCAATTTACGAGTTATTTTAACCTGTCAAAATTAATATGATTAATGGGCACTAGCCCTACCCGTGTGTTAAATTAAAGTCACCATTCTAGCGGCCACGTTGTATAATAGTAAACGAAAGATATAAACATTCATAAATATCAAGAAAATAAAATAAATACATAAATAAATAAAAACCCAACCAGATGGAAGCCCTCGGCAGGGGAAACCAAACGACCGAGGGTTAGGAGGAAAGTTAAGTAAGGAAAGTTAGGAGTATAGAGGAGCACTGCCTTCTGCATTTGAGTCTGGAGCGGTCCGTCACGGAGTCCCAGTCGTCTTAGATGACCTGAGAGGCTGACCGAGATTAGCCCGTTCGCAGAAACGACCACAGGAATAATTTCGGTCGGCAGACTACCCCACATGTCGGTCACCTCGCGAGCCAGGTCCAGATATTTTATCACCTTATTTGTTTCGACTTTGACAAGGTTCTCTTCATAAGGAATGGTAATGTTGACCAAAATGTCCTTGATTGTGCCCGGTCCATCAGCACAATATCACGCTTATTCGCAAGAATAGGCCTGTCTGTGATGATGGCCCGGTCCCAGTAGAGACTGGTACGGTCATTTTCGAGCACGGCATCCGGCAAGTACTTATAATATGGCGGTTTCCGATCCACGAGACCGTATTTCAGAGCGAGTTCCTGTTGTAGAATCCTGGCTACTAGGTTGTGTCTGTACAAATACTCAGAGTTAGAGAGCCCCGAACAACCGGAGACGACATGCCTAAGTGTTTCTGGCGACAAGCTCGACAGACGTCGACGACGCTGGATGTATCTTCGGTAGTTGTTGGTCTTAATAACCTGATTCTGTATCGCACAGACAAAACCCTTGGTTTCCCCAAAGAGGTCACCAAAACGTAGCCAGTAGAGGGAGGCGACTGTATCTACGTTAGTGTCATGTAGAGCCTTGTAGAACCTCTCGTGTAGCTCCTTCTCCTTCCATACGGTCTCCCGGTCGGAAATGCACCGTACTGCCGGGTCTTGCCATTGCTCGTTGGCTAAGGATAGAGGGGTAAGCCCTTTATTACAAGAAATGACGCCCCTATAGAATAGATCATTCGCTCTCGTCAGAAAGTAATTACGGAGGCTGCACATTTCGCGATTATGCATGGTAAACGTGCTTGAAAAGCCACGCCCACCATGTTTCCGCGGCAAGTACAGCCTCATAAGTGACGATCTCGGGTGATGCATCCTATGGGACCTCATAGTAGTGCGGACTTTTCTATCCAGGGCGTTAAGATCAGTTTGAGTACCTTTGGCATACTTAGGTGGACTAATTATTATTAGAAGGCAATCTGACTTGATAAGCTGTTATGGTAATGGTAAGTATTAATTATAATTCAATTTTGTTTAGGAGATGACAATGTGGTACATGAAAGTGGAAAAACTTGCGATCAATATTTTCATTAGTTCATTTAAAAAAAGCAAACGGTCGACTGGTGCTTTGTTTCTGGATTGTATTGATAAATCTAAGATGCACACTTGGAATAATGTTGTAAACAGATGAGTCTACTACAAGTTTAGCAATCATGTCACTACAACATTCTACGCAGGCCTGCTTTCGAGCATCAGTGAGGTTGTACGGTACACTATTCAAAACTATTCCCTTCACTCAAAAGTGTTCATATAAAATCTTGTGAATGTTTCCTGATCCAATCTGCAATATGTGTAGAATTTCTTCATACATTCTCTTTAATTAAGGTTTTCATTGTTAGTATGCTTCTTTTCATAAGAGTCATCAAAGGGAGTCCACTTCTTTCGTCATCTTTTAAAAGTTACATAGAAAGGTCATTACCCATAAATGCCATTTAAAATCTATCAAATTATTCATGCGGTTTTAGGCGACATAAGAAATCTTTGTGTGTGCTAATGTTCCTGATGCAGATCTATTTTCCATGAAATAAGATGTTTCAATTTAGCTCATAAAAATTTGAAATTGGAAAATACATAAACATATTTTCAAAATAACTGACCGTTGACTGGTTCAAAAAATCTTTTTGGGGAAACTTTCTACACGTCCTGTCGTATTTACCCTCACTCTGTACAGTAGCAAAGTAAATTAAAGTTATTAGGAAATTTAATAGTAAAGCATTTTTGTTACAGAAAAAATTAGAACGAAGTCAACATGAAACAAATGCCTTAGAAAGTGAATTACAAGCATTAAAAATAGAAAAGGAGAAACAAGCAATTTACATAAGAGAAATCGAACAGAAAAATGATGATCTTGAAAGGGGACAAAGGTATGAGAAAATAAGTATAATATTTTAATGATTATAACAGTTCACATGCATGACACCACTGACACCAGCTTCGAAAGACATAAGTACTAAATTATTACCATCTTCGCTAATGGAAATATTTAGAGTAATGTCTTAAAAAGGTTTTTAAGTCGAGTCTTTGCTGAACAAAGTCTCGGATTGGGGGCGACTAAATCTAGTCTAGTTTAATCCTCAGAAGACACAAGTTTGCGCGTTTACCGCTAAAAAGAACCCCTTTTGTCGTATCTCCTCAATTTCAAGGCACTCCCCTTCTTGCCTCAGCCAGTATCGGTATCCTCGGAGTCGACATATCGAGTGACGTGCAGTTTCGTGGTCACTTGGAAAAGAAGGCCAAATTGGCCTCTAAAAAGCTTGGCGTGCTCAGCAGAGCGGGACAGTATTTCATGCCGGCACACCGCCTGCAACTTTACAAGGCGCAGGTTCGGCCTCACATGGAATACTGTTCCCATCTCTGGGCAGGGGCTCCCCAGTGCCAGCTCCTTCCACTTGACCGCATCTAGCGCAGAGCGGCTCGAATCGTCGACGACCGAGCCCTTTCCGATCGGCTCGATTCATTGGCACTGCGAAGAGATGTTGTATCCCTTTGCATTTTCTTTCGCATCTACCATGGGGAGTGCTCTGAGGAATTGTTCGGATTAATCCCAGCCGCCAAATTTCACGAACGCACATCGCGGCAGAACTCCCGATACCATCCACACCATCTGGATGATTGGCGGTCCACCACTGTGCGATTTAGAAGATGTTTTCTTCCTCGCACGACTTCCTTGTGGAATCGATTACCATCAGCGATTTTTCCGGACCGATACGACTTAGGGACCTTCAAGAAATGAGCGTACTCCTTTTTAAAAGGCCGGCAACGCATCTGCAATCCCTCCCTGGTGTTGCAGTTGTTCATGGGCGGCGGTAGTCACTTACCATCAGGTGAGCCGCATGCTCGTTTGCCCCTCTCCTTTAAAAAAAAATTGTTTTTAATGGTTATGTGGTAATTTAATTAATGTTTATTGTAAGTGAATGCTACGATCACGGACATTGTGATCTATAAAATTTGATTAAGTATTATTACCATACTCTAACACATATATTTCAGGACATCATCTCATATTGGCAAATAAAATCCGTATCACATAAAAACTTATACAAGCACTTTTTTGGCTAACAAGGAGTGTTTGAAGCATGGAAAAAGCTGTCATCAGAAGTGATATCAGCACAAACCAATTTAAGGAAATATTAGATAGGATAAACAACTAAACTGTAAAAACTACAGATTTGAAACCATTTCATCATTCATTATTTAAAGGCGTAGGAAAGTTAAGACCTTATCGCCCACTGGCGTAATAGTTGTGACAAAATTGCTGCGTCAGCGCATTCAGTCACTGTTTTGCCAAGCGGTGTAGCCGCCATTTATTGGCAGAATTTAAGCATACGGCCGCACTTTGAAATGGTGCCGGGCCTAGATGTGTCCCATTAATTGACGCCTTTTTAATGGACAATAAAAGAACGCGTAAAGTGCCGCTACCTGGCGATCGCCAGGGCGCTGGAGACGACAGTGTGAAGATCGCCAGCCAATCACGAGGTACTGTGAGACCACTTAGCAGCTCCTCGCATCCATCATCCCCACCAGATGGCTTGGTGACAGCTGGGTCTTCTCAGACTCAGCAAGCACATTATGGGCATATTTTTGGGCAAAGGAGGAGTAAACTGGAGAGTTAGCGTATTGAGGAGGAGGAGAGTTAGCGTATCGAGCCAGATGTGTTGCTGTTTTGCTGAGCAAGAGCCATCTGTTCCCGTCTTGGAGCAAAAGCAGCAGACCAAGTTCGGTACATCATTTGCTCAAACTATATGCAGAACTTGAACGAAAACGTCAAAATAAATCAACATTTGTATTTAACAATATCAGTGGTGTCAGTGGGGTCCAAAAGGCTAAACATTCCTATATTCATTTTTTAAATACTTTATAATGTTTTACCAAAACAATTTCAGGGTTATATCGGAGTCAGTCTCATGTATAGAAACATTACTAAACCAAGCATATGAAAGAAATGCTGTTTTAGAAAGTGAAGTAGATGAAATTGAAAACTTAAGAGTTAAACTTCAAAGAGCAACCGATGAGGCCAGAGGTAATATTGATATGAATTTGGTAATATTTTCAATAACTTTTTTGATCAATCGCTGTATAAAATAAAATAAAAATATGCTTACAGATCTCAAACAGGAATTAAAAGTTATAGAAAAAATACCAGAATATAAGAAGGAAGATGGCAGTGTAAATGAAAATGTGTGCAATGGACACATCTCAAATACATCTCGAACACAAGTTGAAATAGAAACACAAACTTCAATATCTTCACCACAGAAACGTAAGCCATCATTGTTTTAATTTAAATCAGTAAAGTTTTTTTTAATCTACATTATTTCAATTGACGGCTCTGTGGTGCAGTGGCTTAGCAATGAGTTCCAGCGCTAAGAACCGCGAGTTTGAATCCCGCACGAAAAAAGTATTTGTATGGCCTAAGTATTTATGTATGTCAACAACCCCCTTGAAACAAGAGAAAATACTAGTGGACGTAACATTTAAAAAAAATAATATAGAAGCCCTGTTGGCATTGGTTTATAAACACCATTTTGAAACAGCTTTTCTAGCTAGCGAGTCAGGGAATCAATAATATTATATAATTGGTTCTGCTATAAATATATAAATTTGTTATTATCGTTAACTAAAACTCTTTTAACAGGTGAAATCAACGGCAATGCAATGACACCTTCTTCCCGAGTTACGGCAATAAATATAGTTGGAGATCTGCTGAGGAAAGTGGGGGTGAGTGGAAGCAAATTATTTACTATATTTTTAGTGGCATTAGTTCTTGTAATAATATTAGCACATTCAGAGCCACTGATACGCCTAGCGTGTCCTTCAAAATGTTTATCAGATGCCAGTGACACGCCTGGCATTTTCTGAGATTCTGTGTAAATATCTCATAGCTTTAGCTGTTTATCTGTCAAAATATTTTTGTACCATCTAAGAGCAATAATTTAACATTTAATAAATTTGACCACGTATATTTTTCATTATTTATGAAAATGTAAGTCAATATGAGATTTTATTAAACAGTTATTATTACAAAGAACTGAATTAGAATTGTAGTTAAAAGTGATATTAGCTTACTGAATATTGTAACATAATAATGAGTAAGTAAAATACATAAATATTTTATTTATTTTAATAAGGTATTTAATTAGTAAATAAAAAGTATACTAATATTTATTACTCTTGTATTTATGTAATTTTATTATAATATTTTCATGTAATACATTTATGTAAATATTGGAATACTTTTTTAAATTCAGTTAATACAATTACAGTACTTACCTATCCAATGACAGCTTAATATAGTCGATGAGCTAGGGAAAGTATTTTAAACAATAATTATACTATAAACAGTACTATAGTAATGTTGTTGAATCTGAAATCGAATCGCAAAAATCACAGCTTCTTTGGATCGTATAGAAGTATGACCCGACTGCCTTAAGTGTAGACATGGGCTCAAGATAGAAAATTTATCTCGTACTTATGTCCCTGGCTCATCTAGGGCTTGGATTGGTTGCTGAAAGACCACAGGACTCAAGTTTAGCATGTAGCTCTTGCTGTTTACAAATCATTTTGGAGCAGTTTGTTTTTGGGCAACAATTATGATTATAGTCACTAAAATAAAATTGATTCTCGATTACGGATTCACTAACATCGATATTACTATAGTAACTTAATTTTTTTTTTTTTACTTTTATATAAAGTGATATTATGTTTTCATTTTATCAAAATTTACACTATAGTACAAAATATAATGACGGTTATAATAGATGTATACATAACTGTTAGGATATCCATGTCCATATTATTTATTTTAATATCTCTCTTCTCTTTCTCTTTATTAATTTTATATATCTCATTATTTGACATCACTCAAGATTTTTACAATTTAATTGTTTGTATTTCACGTTAAACAGTATTGTAGACTCTTTGTTACACGACATAAAATATATTAATCTATTATGGCTCAACCAGAAAAACAAAAGCTCTGCAATAAAAGTGCTTTTGGACTAAAGTTGATATAAATCTATAATATAAAAATGAATCGCTGAATGTGTTGCTAACCGCAAATCTCGAGAGCAGCTGAACCGATTTCGCTAATTCTTTTTTATAATATTCCTTGAAGTACGAAGATGGTTCTTACGGATTTTTAAAAAATTGCCTGAAAAAGTCTAAAAAAACACTTTTCTATATTCCCATACAAAAGATTCGTAATAATACTCGCCACATACATACGGAATTCCGTTTCGAGATTCCGTTTCGATATTCCGATTCGGAATCCCGAACGCAGCAAGTCCATATAAAATCTATGACCCGCCACATACGTACGGTAGTTTTCCGTTCGATATTTTGCGGCTAAACGGGATTCCGTTTGTGTGTGGCCTACCGTTCGGAATTCCGAAACGGAATCTCGAAACGGAATTCCGTATGTATGTGGCGGGCCTTAAAAGTCAATTTGAACTTTAATACCATACATTAAGTTTAAGTGTTAGTGGAGGGGTTCCGGGAAGGCATAACAATTGAGTGACGTTAGTATCGTATAAATATTAATGTCAATATTTATACATACTGGCAGATAGCTGATGTTATTAGCAGTAACTTGGGCTGCTAGGGTTTCGCGAAAAATAACTCCACGCGGACGAAGTCGCGGGGAACAGCTAATATGACAATAAAAATTATAGACAAGACGTTATTCTCTTCTATTACTTTGATGAAATCTACTTTAAAAGCTATCAAGTTATCTTCAATAGTTTGCACCTCATTATTGTGAATAAAGGGGTTTTCAATAAAGGCGGATAAATGTTGAAATGAAATAGAGCGGGAGATAAACTTGTCCCCAAATCGCTCATCTAGTATGTCAATCGTGGGTTCCACTATGTGGCACGTGGCGTCGTCCTGCGGGAACCACATGTCGACTAGGTCCATATGATTCAATTTGGGCCATAAGAAATTGGTTATCAGAGTTCTGTAGCGCTCGCCGTTGACAGTGACTGCCACACCAGCGTCGTTTTCAAAAAAGTACGGACCAATGACGCCGCTTGCCCAATATTCATACCAAACGGTAACTTTTTGAGGATGCATTATCACCTGGTGAACCTCGCGTGGTTGGTGTCGTCTCATATACGGCAATTCTGCTTGTTAACACAGCCATTCATCCAAAAATGTGCCTTGCCGCTAAAGATGATTTTTCGGCCAAAATTGGAGTCCTCTTCCAAACGATTCGAAGCTAAGCCAAGCGAAAAAACGGCGTGGTTTATGGTCATGAATTTGAGCTCCTGGGTCAGTCGGATCTTGTACGGTTGTAAGCTTAAGTCCCGACGCAAAATTCGTCAAGTTAAAGTCTACAAAAGGCCGGGATACACGGCGAGGAATCGATTGCCTCGGGTTCTGTTGTACACTTTCACGAACCCTGACGATGTTCTCGGCCGATCTTGCGTTACTTGAACGTACGGGTATTGGCTCATTGTTTATCAAACCGGTCGTTTCAAATTTGGCCACCAAACGTTGAATTGTCGACTGTGAAGGGCCACCACGTCTACCGTAAAATGGGTGTAATGCGCGCAACGTTTGCACTAACAAACACTCATTTTGATAATAAAGTTTTATCATTTGAACGTGCTGTTCAATCGTGTAATTTGCCATGGTGATTTGGTAGCTGTATAATAAACAAAAGATTTGATAAATGTCACCAAAACAAAATTGCCGCCACGGGCCAACAAAATCTTTCCACGCCAATTGAAAAACCCTTCAAAAAAGTTCACAAAATTTGTAGATGGACTAGCCTGATCAAGGTAATAGTAGTGGATCCACTACGTAATATCTTTCCGTGAGTGTCGTAAGAAACAAGTTGCTGAGATATTGTAGGATTATCTGAGATCCAGGTAAAATGCCGTAACCTTCGAATTCGACAACTTTTTCAATCACCGGGAGCTTGAGCATCAGTCCCTAGGAAGTATCGGATACTCGGATGTATAGTCCAGAAGGCTCTCATTAACGTGGTTAAAATCTAAAAGTATACGGGGGTTGCGTACCACATACCACCACACACCAACCTCGGCACATCTCCATAAGTGGAGGAGATGTATGAGAATATCTCTAAAGCCATGAATCCTTCAAAAACAAGAAAGGACGGTGAGCTGAAGGTAGGGAACTTTGAAACTGGACCACGGAACCCTGGGCTTAATAATCGAATTTTATGGAAAATGACTCCATATTATGAACTGTTACTTGAATAAGCGGCGCCACAGAAAGTGGACTAGGTCTAACCCCAACAATTTGATGAAGAATGACTTCATTATGACGATTAGATGGTAACTGGTTATAGTGTTTTAAGTTAAGGTGAAAACTGGTAGCGATCATCGAATGGTGAATGATACACTGAACCTTGAACGTTAATTTGGAAAGTTCAATGATTGTTTCTCCTCGTGCACTAATCCAAAGCCCCGAAAAATTTCAGTACGAAATCATCCTTAGAAGATCGCAATACAGTATACGATATAAATTACAAGCTCGTGGAAACTGTCAATGCGGTCTCATGACTGTTAGACGAGAAATTAAGCTACAGTCTTCAACAGATATGACAGCATACAGGTAACTGAACAGGCAGATGTTTTAATGCATGCGGCGTGACTTACGGCTATTTCAATGCAGCGATTGAGCGGAATCAAGGTTTCAGTCTTCGCTAGAACTCTGTCTGCCGGAAAGAACCACCTGTCTAAGTTGAAGATTGACTGTAGCAGGATATAGTTTCTACGTACAGTTAGTACACCTTAGTTTAGTTTACGACTGGCTGTTTTCCGCAACTCCACATCTAAGCGCGTATTTTGCGTGTGGACAGGAATAATGTAATTATTCGAGCCATGAAACCTCCCCGAAGAAGTTCAACATTCCTTTGATGTTGCGAGCAACTTGATCCCGGCGTGCTGAGATGTTTAAACCTGTATGTAGCGAGCAACACGTAGGCCGCCGTTTCTTCCTCCCCAATACATGCCGTGGACAGAGGGCTATCTGTAATACCTATGGTAAATAAATATTTGTTAAAGAAGCTATGTCCTGTGTTAGCACTTGTTACTATACTGATCTGTGGCTTGTTCTATCTCATTAGAACCTTGGTTAGACGACTGTTTATTTCAGGCAGGTCGTCCCTAGCTTCTCTACAGTCTACTAGATTTTTACAAAGCTGTGCGTGTGGATTAGTGAAGTTTCTGCCTATCGCGTGTGACTCCAACGACGAAGTGTACAAACTGTACACTTCGTCGTTGACGAAGTCAATCGTTAATCGTTACTCGTGTGGCTCCAACGATGATGTGTACAGCTGCCCATAGAACCTCTCAATCTCGCTCAAAATCTCAAGTGTTCCGGAAACGACGCTGCCACACTCGGTCTTCAGCTTCGACAGTTGGCTCTTTCTGGCAGACAGATCTCTAGCAAAGACTTTGGAGCCCTGGTTCCGCTCGATCGCTTCTTTAATACGAGCAGTATTAAAGTTGCGTAAGTCCCACCGCATGCATTTGCAGATCTGTCTGTTCAGTTGCCTGTATGCTGTCAAATCTACTGAAGACTGCAACTTCATATCTCGTCTAATAGCCATGAGATTAAGAGTGTGATCGGAGAGTTTTTGTGTTCTTCTGCGGCGGGTCTTGCAAAACTTAGCTCCGACCGCATGGACGGTTTCCACGAGCTTGTCATTCATATCGTCCACTGCATTACAATCTTCTAGGTACTGAAAA